GCTGCTCTCCGGCCGTCTGGGTCCGGGGAAATAAAACCACCAGCTCCTCTAATTGCAGCCTCTCCCAGCAGGTCTGGATCCGGCCGGGAGAGCAGGAAATCAGCAGGTTGAGTCACTCTATAAAATACTTCATTAACCTTTAAATAATTGCGCTAATAATTTCAAATTGCAAGCTGACCCATCGCTCGCTAAGAAGCTAAAGAGAAGAATTAGAAACTGCTCACCCGCTCCCTCTCATCTAACGCCACGGGAGCCGGGAAGCACGCAGGCCCCCCACGGGATCGGGGATGGCCGGGCACGCTCCCCACCACACACGGCCACAGCGTGGCGGGCAGCAGCCGTGGGTTGGGCCTATTTCCACGGAGCTAGGCACCGATATCCCTCGGAGGAGACAAGGGCTCGTTGGCTTGACCCTTGGGCTTGTCCACCACCAGCCTAACACGCTGGAGAACATTGACGCCTCCAAGGACCAGCCCAGGTGGAGAGAAGGAACCTGCTAGAGGAGCTGCTCTTTCAGCCCCGATCCCACCCGGGCGCATTTGCTTCAAGTACAGGCAGACTCGGTTCCCTCCTTTCTTTTTTGCGTAAATCCCAGATAACTGCATGTGCTGGGATCAAAAGGGACTTCAAATTTTGAGGAATTTGGAAATCTCTGTGGTGTGTCACGCCAGGATGGAAGTGATGGGACCCACCAGTTGTCCAGCTCCAGGGTCCCCGCTAATCACCAGCAGGGACAGGAAGGAATTTCTCCTGCGGGCTCCAACAGCGAATTTACACACCCCTGCCCACCTCATCACGGGAGAGGGGATAACAACCACGTCTCCCCGCCACAGCAAACACTGCCCTTGCAGAGGGCCTGAACCCAGGCCAAAGCCCTCCCTCCGTCACCGCTCCCTTCCCGGCTGTCAGGCTCTGCTGACGAGCCGGCTGCATCCCCCAGCAATTCCCTCTGCGGCACAAAGTCACGCCGCTGGCAAGGGGGAAGAAGAAACGGAGGCAGCCAGGGCAGGACAACATGAGAAAAGATACTTGGGGGGTGCTGCACGGTCTTGGAAAGGAGGAGACGCAGAGCCTGTGCCAACTGGATATGCTGCTGGTTGTTTAAACACGTGTCAGGCCTGGAAGAGATGAGCAAACTGCACGTGGGGACATTCCCAGCCAGCGCTGCACTCCCGTTGGGCTCTCAGGCCCTTCGTTCTGCTTTAGCAGTGAACCGTAGCAGGGAGGAGACAAGGCGAACGTAGATCTCTCCAACGCACACAGCTCCTCCTTCGCAACTAACAGCATCCGCGGCACCTCACCAGCCCAAATCCGGCCCTCACACGTGTCATTCCCAATGCTGAACATCTGCTCACACGCTAAGGAGGCAACCGCAAAAAAGCCACTCCTCTGCCTCCAATAACAAAAAATTCCTGCTGTTGGGTGATGTGAAGCAAGAACCGTGGACACGTTGTCAGTGCTGCTAGTGGGAGCACTTTAGCAGATGCGTGATCTACTCGTATGCAAAGGTGATGACCATCAGCATCAGTCAGCTCTCACCCTCCCGTGCAGGCTGGTACCCTCCTCTCACAGGTAGGGATAAACCTACGTCCGCACGAGGCTGTCCTCTCCCAGTGCTCTGCACACACTTGCAGAAGGTCCACCTTCTCAAAGGAGGGGACAATACCCACGTGGACGCAGGATGTGGATTCACTGCTGCCAAGCCAGCATCACTGCTCCTCCAGAAGGAAGAATCGCCTGCGGAGGAGGCGTTGTGGCCTCCATCGGACACTGCATCCAACGGACACGGGTCCTGCAAAGCCATGAGAGCCAGCTCCCACCTTGCCCTCACCGGCCGTGGCTACCGCTAGCCTTGTCAGAGACAGCCCTCTCTCCAGGTAACATCCGCGCAGCTGTGCTAGCCTTTCTGGAAGAGTTTGGTGTATCCAGCCAAAAGGCTTATGCTCCACCAGGGACCCTCTTTCACAACCCAGCAACGCTGTACCAAGGATAATTAAACACTAATTAATGTTACCAGTGAGCGTACAAGGTTATAAAGAGCTCCAAGGCACCTATAAAAGCTGAGCTAGCGAGGACAACTGGAAGCCATCCGTAGTTGGCAGCAAGCTCGTCACCAGCCCTGCAAAGCATCTGACGGAGCCCAAGGAGTCAAACTCCTTGGAAACAGAGCCTGGACCAAATCCATGCTCTGCCATGTAGACCAGGAGGAACACATAGCTTCAGAGAGCACCTCTCTTCCCGCTCGGGAGCTTTTGGGACAGACCACAGCAAACAGAGCAGAACCCCAAGGACAACAGGAGAAGAGACGGCAAAGCCCCCAAATCCATGCCCCGGCTCCAGGAGGCCAGGATTCAGGGCGCTTATCTTGGCCCCATCCCTATCAGCTCACGGCTGTTGGCACGACTGGTCCATCCCTCCCATCTTAGCCGCGCAGCCCGTCTCGCCCTGGCAGCGCAGAGCCCCACCTTCAGCCATCACCCCTGTCCGTCACAGGCTTGGCGTCCCCCAAAGCCTCCCACCCAGACCGGACCCCTCTCCCCGCAGCCAGCCCTGTCTCCTCTCGGTAGCCCACATTACTCAGCTCCTTGACACAGCCCTGCCAGTCTCCTTGACTGAGCCCTGCCCACCCTCCCCTGCCAGCCCCATCCATGATAAATGCCACTAAACTCTCATTTATCGGGCCATCAGAGCAAGACGCTGTCAGAGGGAAGTGGCAAGGCTGAACGATGCTCTTACGGCACAGCGCTGCCTGTACAATAAACAGTGGTTAATAAACTAGGCCAGCCTATATTTATGATCTGTTTTCACAGCTCCCTCTCCTCCCGACTTTTCTTCACGCAGGGCAGTCTCCACGTCTGGAAAACAGCCCCGAACTGTAAGGGAGCCATCAACCATCCAACACGTCATTGCCTGCCCACTGGGACTCTAATTAACAGTGTACAGGCGTCACAGAGGTGTAATGAGCAGGGAAGCTAAGCAGAAAGTTTGCCAAGACACTACTTGCAACGCAAAATGCCCCCGGTGGAAAATCACCACCCTAATACCAGGTGCCAAAGGGTCTGTCAGTCAAGATTAGTTATTAGAAGGTCAGCTGAGACTACAAGTAATGCAGTATTTGGGTAGGGTCTTAAGCAGGGATTGCTGCAGCCACTGCTAGGACGGAGCACCCCGACACTGACTCAAGAGCATCCCAAAGCCATAAGACTATGCACAAAGGAGAGGAAGAATAACAAGCCCTGTGGTGGCTTCAGGAGCGGTTTAGACTCGTACAGGACTATTAGCAAAGCCAGAGACTAAAAAGTCCTAGAAAAACACACCCAGACCTTTCCCAACTCTTTCACAGTTCTTGTGAGAAGCTTTTTGCAGCTCAGCAAGTGCCTCCATAGCTCAGCCCTCCAGAGACAAGCTGAGACGCTGGCGCCAAGGCAACTGGGGAGGAGAACAGAGCCACGAACCATCCTGCAGGTCCAGGGACTGGGATGGGAGAGAGGCAGAGCAGGAATACAGGGTAGCAGCCCCAGGGGAAGCTCTAGGCTACAGCAAAGATCACCGCCTTCTTCAGAGAGACCCCCATCCCTGACCTCCCCTCGCTGGCTCACCCGTGATGGTGACGGAGGCGTGGGTCTCCTGCTGCAGCACTGGGTTTCGCACCAGGCAGGAGTAGGTGCTGCTTGGCTCCACCAACACCTGGAGGACGCTGTGCACATCAAAGAGACCCTCCTCGTTGGCCACCTGAGACGTGGTGACGTTTTCCGTGATGTTGCTGCCGTGGCTGTCTTGCCAAAGGACAGTGGCTTCAGGGTAGCCACGGGATGCATGGCAAGTCACTGCCACCAGATCCCCCGGCTTCAAGTTCTTGTTGGGCTCCAGGTTCAGATTGGGCTTGGAGTAGGGAGCTGAAAGGGAAAGGAGAGCCAGCACGAGGTGACAGAGATGACTGAACGATCATGCTCTGGAGCAACCAATGGTCCTTTTCTCCCTACTTCCTCAAGGCATCTACCCCTACCTCCATCACAGGAGCTGTTGGAGGACCAACAGCTCCATCCCCACACCAGGGAGATGCCTGTCACCTTCCTATACCCAAGAGCTCGAGGACACTGTTCTCACAGGGTGCTAGAAATCAGGTGGCCAGAGAAACAGTGTTTCCCAGGAGCAGGTTGAAAGTTGAGGATAGTTCAGGGGAGCCCCCGGCCCAGCTGGGAAAAAACGTGCCTCAGTCCTGCTCCATGCACGTCCCCATCCAATACATAGAGGAGGCACCCATATGGGACCTGAGGACAGGGCTGCTGGCATCTCACATATCCAGCTCAGCATTCGAGCAGCTCAGGCCACAGCCAGGTTGCCTCTGCACCCAGCTGTGAGCCTCCTCATCATGACAGGGAATGGACTAGACCCACCGGTAGCAATATTTGGGGGAGATGCAGGGCTAGTCTCTAACAGAGAGAACTGAATTCAAGGGGAGACCCTGGCAGGGAAGGAGAGAGAAAGAGATGCTCCACCACGGACAAAAGTATGATGGGGGAGAATCCCACTCTTTGGGGAAGGGTGCAGGGACACCCCCACCCTCCGTCTCTCACCTGCCACTTGCAGCATCACAGCCGCGCTGCTGTAGTTGCTGACCCAGACGAAGCAGGTGAAGCTGCCTTCGTCGGAGATCTCCACACGCCGGAGCAGCAGGGAGACGTTGCCCTGGGCCAGCTGGTCGTAGAAGAGGGCCGTGCGGTTGGCGTAGCCTCCCCCCTGGTCAGCCAGCTGGTCCTTGCCACCAGAGAAGCTGTGGACCAAGCGCTTGGTGTCCGTCAGCTGCCAGATGAGGGTCAGGTCGTTCAGGCTGAAATTGGCCTCAGGGGAGAAGGCGCAGTGCAGGGTGGCATCTCGGCCAAACAGAGCCACCACTGGCTCATCCGGGACCTGGATATCCATGGCACCTGCAGGAGGGTGGCAAGAGAGCAAAAGCACATGTTGATGAGACCCCTAGAAACACTTCCCTCGCTCCTGGTTTATATCTCAGCAGAAAGGCCTGAGACGGGAGAGAACCTGCAAAAGATGGGTTAGCTTCCTCTTCTGCAGGAGCGGGGGGAAGAAGAGGGGAGCTCACACCCATCTCCAGGGCCTCAGAGCAGGACTTCCCACCCTCTCCCATCCCTGCTGAGGTTACACTCCTCCATCTGCACCAGCCCCGCTCTGCTGCACTGAGCTTTTTGCAGGATTGTTCTGCAGAGGCGGAGGACACCTGCAAAAGGCAGCTACCTCTGGGCAGGAGCAGCACAGCCTCCCAGAAGCACACAGCGACCGCTTACGGCAGGCGGGAAGGGCCAGGCTGCAGGAACGGATGACACGCCGCCGACCGAAGCTGCAAGGCGCCTGGGATTCCCGCTCTACGACGATGCCCGCAGAAGAGATCGGAGCGCAGCCAGCATCTCCAAACCCTTCCCCAGCATCGATTCCCAGAAAGGCCCATGCCGCTGCCATCCAGTCCTCACGCATACCGGCAGCCAGAGAAACCTGCACCCCGCGGGGAGCCTGGCCTCGCGGGGGAGCCCCGACCGGGGGGAGCCAGGCAGGCTGCATGGCACATCCCAAACCTTGGGTATTGCTGCCCTCAGCTGTCCAAGAGCAGCAACCGCTGCTTCTCGCGATCACAGCTCTGCAGACGGGGCTGGCAGGGAGCAGCCGGGGACACCCAAACCTGGAGCCACCCCGCAGCTCTGCTGAGGCTCGCCTGGCTGTTTACAGCTCTGACTCCCTACCTTGCTGACGTGCCCGCAGTTCGTGCCGCAGCCTTTCCCG